ACATTTATCAGTAAGTACTTTGTGCCAAAGTTACTTTCTAAGCAGTTTATATATATATATATATATATACACACACACACACACACACACACACAGACATATATCAATTAAACCTCACAAAAACTCTATGAGGTATAATAAAGGTGCTCAAAATTACCCTAGTAAATGGCAACATTAGCAATGATAAAATCAAAAGAAAAAAGTATATAGAGTTAGATTGGTCCTATATTAAGAAGAGTCAATTTAAATAGTATCAGAAGAATTTTGTTGAAAAATTGGTTTGGCACCGCAGTGCAGTGGTTACAGTGCCAGCCACTGGCTGGTGGGTTTGAATCCAGCCTGGGCCAGCTAAACAACGACAACTGCGACCAAAAACTAGCTAGGTGTTGTGGCAGCACCTGTTGTCCCAACTACTTGGGAGGCTGAGGCAAGAGAATCACTTTAGCCCAAGAGTTTGAAGTTGCTGTGAGCTGTGATGCCATAGTACTCTACTGTGAGGGTGACATAGTGAGACTGTCTCAAAAAAAACAAACAAAAAAAACAAATTAAAAAAAAAAATGTACCTAAAACAGTTCCATTTAGAGAGTAGAAATACAGGTAATTTATGTTATTTTCACTCTTTTTTTGTATTTCTCTAATATTATACCTTGAACATATGTTTATATAATTTAAACAAGGTAGATTGTATGCTTATAAAGATAATTATACAATAATGCATACAGTTTAGAAAACTACAAATGTGGCTCGGTGCCTGTGGCTCAAGTGGCTAAGGCACCAGCCACATACACCTAAGGTGGCGGGTTTGAATCCAGCCCGGGCCCACCAAACAACAATGACGGGTGTAACCAAAAAATAGCTGGGCATTGTGGTTGGGCACCTGTGGTCCCAGCTACTTGGGAGGCTGAGGCAAGAGAATCGCTTAAGCCCAGGAGTTGGAGGTTGCTGTGAGCTGTGATGCCACAGCACTCTACCCAAGGGGATAGCTTGAGGCTCTGTCTCAAAAAGAGAAAACTACAAAAGAAGGATTTTTTTTTTTTGGTTAAATTAACTGTAAACAAACATAAAATCTACCCATGAAAAATTCTGAACTTTTTAAGATTTCTTGATTATAAAACATATCAAATAATTTCAACCTCTGTGATACCAAAGTATGAAAGTCATATTTTTACAGTAGTATATATATCAAAACCAAGAATAGTATAATTGAATTGTTTCTTCTCTTACCTACAAGAAAACAGTATGCTTTACTTCATTTTCCTTAACTATTCCAAAGCAGAACGCATATTATGATAGACATATATTCCAAGACTGAATCTAATTTGCCTTGAAAATCATGCTTCTAGAACTGTTATCTTACTGGACAGCCACTTGCCACATGTGACTATTTAAATGAAAACTTATTTAAAAAAAAGGAAATTAGGCAGCATCTGTGGCTCAGTGGGAAGGGTGCTGGCCCAATATAGAGGGTGGCGGGTTCAAATCCAGCCCCAGCCAAACTGCAACAAAAAAAATAGCCAGGCATTGTGGAGGCGCCTGTAGTCCCAGCTACTCAGGAGGCCGAGGCAAGAGAATCGCCTAAGCCCAGAAGTTGGAGGTTGCTATGAGCTATGTGATGCCACAGCACTCTAACAAGTGAGACTCTGTCTCTACAAAAAAAAAAAAAAAATTCAATTCCTCAGTTGCAGTAGTCACATTTCAAACGCTGAAAAGCCACACAGATTAATTTTATTGTAAAAAGATATTGCCAATATCTTTCTGTGGCACCATACTCAGAGTTAAAATATAGTTCCTAACTTAGCAATTCACTTAATTTAATTTTTTTTTTTTTTTTGTAGTTTTTGGCCAGGGCTGAGTGTGAACCCGCTACCTCTGTCTGGCATATGGGGGCTGCACCCTACCCTTTGGAGCCACAGGCGCCGCCCAATTTAAAATATTTTTAAGTAGAATTTTTTAAAGTTATTAGCTCTAAGAAATTCTTTAAAATGTATCACCCTTGTAAAATCATCTAAAGATAATCACATCTCCAAAAGTTTCTTTGTACTGACTATAACATCTCCAGGTGGGCACAGTGGCTCACACCTGTAATCCCAAAACTTTAGTAGGAGCCTGAGAAAGGACCACTTGAGGCCAGAAGTTTGAGACCAGCTTAAGCAACATAGTGAGATCCTTTCTCTACAAAAATTTAAAAGAGTAGCCAGTCAGGCATAGTGGGATACATGTACTTTCTGATACTTAGAAGTGTTTTAAGCCCAGGAGTTTAAGGCCACACTGAGCCATGATTGGGCCACTGAGCTCCAGCCTGGGCAACAGAGCAAGACCTTGCCTCAAAAAAAGGGGGTTAAAAAAATGAAACCTTCCCATTGTGAAAGAACTCTATTTCTCTATTTTATGAACCAGAATAAAAATAAACTATAGATAGTCCAGAAAATAAGAAGCTATTTCATAGAAATCACACAATTTAGACAGATTTTGCTCAAAGCAATATAATTAACCAACACACATTTTCCAATCAAATAAATCTTAAAATATATCAATGAAACCTAACAGGACCATTAACGCAATTTCCCTATAACCAAGGGACACGTGTAGGCATTAGCCAGCATAAGTATGTATAAAGCATATTTTATATGCATGGACTATATACCAAATAGTATATTAACCATCTTTTCTACATTTATATCCATATGTCTTAAGAAATTAATTAGGATCTATAGGTAGAAAAAAAAAACCAAGGATAAAAGATTAAAGATTAGAATTTAGGACACTTAAAGGTACTTTCAAATGAAAGAACTATTGTGCAAACTTTAAATTAAGACCGAGAGATAACCAGAGAACAACATTATGATAATCTCCAAATCTATGCAGATGCTGTCAAACTTTGTTAAAACAAACAGAACGATGTAGACCTTGAAGAGAATGGTTAATATAGGAATTCCAACAAAAGCAGAAATATTTAAAATTACATGATGTGGGAGGAAAAATTCGACTGCAAGATAGAATAAGTCTGGTTATAACAGAAATTATGACATTCATCTACTTTATAACAATAAACAAGTTTTCAGCTGGCCCAGGTTGGGTTTGAACCACCAGCCTCGCTATACATGGCTGGCACCATAACCACTGTGCTACGGGCACTGAGCCTAACAATAAACAAGTTTTTACCTTTATTTTACCTCAATTTCCCTATCTCTATTAGAAAACTATTGAGAAACCCAGATGAATAATGATTAATCAAAATAACCAATGAATTTTACTTCTTTGTTGTTTTCAGTCTCTGTCTACTCTCTTTAGAATGATTCAATTAAATGCTTCCAATATTTCTCACTTTTAAATAAAGTTTAAAGGGATATTCTTGTAAGATGGAAAAAAAGAAAGACAATTAGGATGTTAGGTACAAGCTTAGGGAATCCAGAGCAAGAAGGTTACCATCATCTTCAATTATAGTGACAGTCCACCTGGATCTCAATGAGAAGGTTAATAAGTTAACATTCCACTGCTTTTAGCATAGTTCCTTTTAGGAGCAACAGAACAAAATGTGTGCACAGAATCAAACAGCTATCTATGGCTGGGTGTGGTGGCCCACCTGTGCAATCCTAGCACTCTAGAAAGCCGAAGCGGGTGGATTGCTTGAGCTCAGGAATTCAAGACCAGCCTGAGCAAGAGTGAAACCCCATCTCTACTAAAAATAGAAAAACTAGCCAGGCATGGCAGCACAGGACTGTAGTCCCAGCTATTCGGGAAACTGAAGCAAGAGGATCACTTGAACCCAAGAGTTTGAGGTTTGCTGGGAGCTACGATGCCACAGCACTCTACCCAAGGCACCAAAGTTGAGATGCTGTCTCAACAACAAAGGTAAAAAAAAAATCATTAGCTATGGAGAGTTGATTTCAATCTTTTCCCCTCACTCTAAGACTGTCACTGCCGTGATCCAATACCTATCCCATGGCCCTTCCTTGAATAAAGCCTGTTTTCTTGTCTTTATTAAAAAAAAAAAAAAGTCGCTCAAGTGGCTAAGACGCCAGCCACATACACCTAAGGTGGAGGGTTCGAATCCAGCCTGGGCCCACCAAACAACAATGACGGCTGCAACCAAAAAAAAAAAAAAAAAAAGCCAGGCGTTGTGGCAGGCGCCTGTGGTCCCAGCTACTTGGGAGGCTGAGGCAAGAGACTTGCTTGAGCCCAGGAGTTGGAGGTTGCTGTGAGCTGTGATGCCATGGCACTCTACCCAGGGGGAGAGCTTGAGGCTCCTGTCTCAAAAAAAAAAAAAAAAAGTCAAGGCTGGGCCCACTGGCTCATGCCAGTAAACCTAGTGTTCTGAAAGGCTAAGGCAGGAGGATAACTTTAGCTTAAGAGTTTGAGACCAGCCTGAGCAAGAATGAAACCCTGTCTCTATTAAAAAAAAGAAAAATTAGCCAGGCATTGTGAGTGCCTATAATCCCACCTAGGTAGGAGGCTGAAGCAGGAGGAACACTTAAACCCAGGAATTTGAGGTTGATGTGAGCTAGGCTGATAGTATGGCACTCTAGCCTGGGCAGCATGAGACTCTGTCTCACAAAAAAAAAAAGAAAGAAAGAAAGAAAGAAAGTAAAGAAAAGAAAAAAATTGTTATAGTATGGTATGCAATTTAATACCTAATTTTCATAATTATCCTAAGCAGGGGTAAATAATTCATGAATGCTTTAGACGCATTCTATAGATGGTAAATCTGGTAATCGTGGACATATTATCCAAGGTATTTAACAAATACTTAGTAATGTTAGGCACAGATATCTTAAATTTAATTAAAACCACACTGGAAAATTATTTTAGACCTAATTTAACAAAGCATATATACTATACCTAATCTATTCTATATATAAATCACCAGATAACCAAAGCGAAAACTTTAACAGGTTTATTGTTCCCCTTAGTAGAACTGACATATAAGATAAATTTGATATAGAAATTAAGGTAAAATTCTGAAAAAAACTTAATGCATAGTAATGAAGAAAAATGCTTACCTAGTTCAATACATGTTATTCCAAGAGACCATACATCCACTTTGCCATCATACTGTCCTTCATCCATGGCTAAAATTACTTCTGGAGCCATCCTAAAACATAAAATGGTCATTTAAATTAAAGCTTAAAATAGTATACTATTCTTTGAGAATGTAATGACCACCTACATGGATAACACTGGTTTAATTTCAGTCAATATCTCTGGACATAGGAATTTTTATATTGACAAATAAGTGCATTACAGGTGATAGGTAAATATTTAGCAGTACATATATAGTTTTACATTCATTCTCACCATGTGTCATGACCATGTAATAGCATCCCAAAAGCAGGAAGCCTACAATGCAGGAAGCCTACAATGCAGGATTGTATTCCGCACCTATTCAAGTTTGCAGATTATACTATTACATGTTCTTTAGGCCTGTGGTTCTCAAATATTTTGGCCTCAGGATCTCATTTCAAAAGTCTAATTTTTACTTGTAAGACTGAATTTTAATATTGTCAATAAATACTTTTAGTTGTTTTTCTCTCACCACTATACAAATACGGAAATTGTTTTTCTTGAAGTGACAAGCTCAGCTCACTTTATTTATTCAAGAAAATACCTGCTATAATAACCAAGACCGAATAACCATAGTGTCTGTGTGGAAAAAAAAAAAGGTGTTTCAGGCCAGGCACAGTGGCTCACACTTGTAAACCTAGCATTCTGGCAGGCCGAGGCATGTGATTACTTGAGCTCAGGAGTTCAAGACCAGTCTGAGCAATATTAAGACCCTGTCTCTAAAAAGTAGCTGGGCATTGCGGCAGGTGCCTGTAGTCCTAGCTGCCTGGGAGGCTGAGACAGGAGGATCACTTGAGTCTAAGAGCTTGAGGTTGCTGTGAGCTATGATGCCACAGCACTCTACTGAGGAAGAAAAGTTAAGACTGTCTTCCAAAAAAAAAAAAGAAAAAGGTGTTCCATGATAAAAGCAACTTACAACTCAACCACACAATTACCAATTTTATGGGTATCTTAGTTGTAAAATGAAATACCAATTCACAACTTCAAGCTAGAGTCTAAAAAAAAAATTTTTTTTTGAGACAGAGCCTCAAGCTGTCCCCCTGGTTAGAGTGATGTGGCATCACAGCTCACAGCAAACTCCAACCCCTGGGCTTAAGCGATTCTCTTGCCTCACCCTCCCAAGTAGCTGGGACTACAGGCGCCCATCACAAAGCTCGGCTATTTTTTGGTTGAAGTTGTCATTGTTGTTTGGCAGGCCTGGGCTAGATTTGAACCTGCCAGCTCTGGTGTATGTGGCTGGCACCTTAACTGCTTGAGCTACAGGTGCTGAGCCTAGAGTCTAAAATTCTTAATTATACTTTCCCTTGCACTTCATTTGTGTTGAGTTAAGCACAGACAGACATGGAAAATAGATGCTTCCATCTTGGAGAGGTGGCTCGCACCTATAATCCTAGCACTCTGGGAAATGGAGGTGGGAGAATTGTTTGACCTCAGGAGTTCCAGATCAGCCTGAACAAGAGCGAGACCTTGTCTCTATTAAAAATAAATTAGCTAGGGCGGTGCCTGTTGCTCAGTGGATAGGGTGCCAGCCCCATATACCGAGGGTGGCAGGTTTGAGTCCGGACCCAGCCAAATTGCTGGGAATTGTGGTGGGTGCCTATAGTCCCATCTATTTGGGAGGCTGAGGCAAGAGAATCACCTAAGCCCAAGAGCTCACAGGTTGCTGTGAGCTGTGACACTACCGAGGGCCATAAAGTGAGACTCTGTCTTGGGCAGTGCCTGTGGCTCAAAGGAGCAGGGTGCTGGCCCCATATACTGGAGGTGGTAGGTTCAAACCCAGCCCCCAGCTAAAAACAGCAAAAAAAAAAAAGTGAGAATCTGTCTCTAAAAATAATAATAATAATAATTATCATAATAAAATAAAAATAAGTTAGCTAGCCATTGTGGTAGCTGGGCATTGCAGCAGGTGCCTGTAGTCCCAGCTACTTGGGAGGCTAAGGTAGGAGGATCTCTTGAACCCAAGAGTCTGAGGTTGTGGTGAGCTAAGCTGATGCCACAGCATTCTAGAGTGAGACTCTGTCTTAAGAAAATGAAAAACTAAAATAAAACCCCCAAATCCCCAAACAAACAAAAACAAAAAAACAAAAACCAGTTGCTTCTGCTTCATTAAGGAGTAGGTACTCCTAGTGTGTGTATACACACACGGATATATATATATATATATATATAAATAAAAAGCTGTGGACATGTAATCAGTTTTTGTGTTCCAAATATAGCATATAAAAATACGTAATAAAGTAAAAATAAACCTCCAGTTGTCAATATTAGTGTTTCACCAGTATTAAAAATGTTTAAGGGCTCGGCGCCTATAGCTCAACCAGCTAAGGCGCCAGCCACATACACCTAAGGTGGCGGGTTCGAATCCCCAGCCCGGACTCGCCAAACAACAATGACGGCTGCAACCAAAAAAAAAATAGCCGGGCGCTGTGGCGGGCGCCTGTGGTCCCAGCTACTTGGGAGGCGGAGGCAGGAGACTCGCTTGAGCCCAGGAGTTGGAGGTTGCTGTGAGCCGTAATGCCACGGCACTCTACCCAGGGGGACAGCTTGAGGCTCTGTCTCAAAAAAAAAAAAAAAAAGTTTAAGTAAGTTTGGGTAATTAAGGTAAGCAAAGTTAAAGTACTAGTTTTTTTGAGTCTCACTCTGTTGCCCAGGCTAGAAAGCCATGCTGTCTGCCTTAGCTCATCACAACCTCAAACTCCTGGCTTAAGCAATCCTGACGCCTCAGCCTCCCAAGTATCTGGGACAAGAGGCACCCACCCAGCTAATTTTTTCTATTTTTAGTAAAGTTGGGGTCTCTCCCTTATTCCAACCTTCACCCTCTCTTGAGTTCAAGGGATCTTCCTACCTTGGACTTCCAGAATGCAAGGATTATAGGTGTGAGCCATCATACCTGACCACTTTCATGTTTTCATTGTAGGACTTTCTAAGGCTTTTATAACAGCTAAGATTCATCACCAATTGCTAAAGAGGGTAATCATTAAGAAGTATTATTCAGCTTGGCACTCTTAGCACAGTGGTTATGGCGCCTGCCACATACACCGAGGCTGGCAGGTTCAAACCTGGCACAGGCCAGCTAAACAACAATAACAACTGCAACAAAAAATACCCGGGTGTTGTGGTGGGTGCCTATAGTCCCACCTACTTGGGAGGCTGAGGCAAGAGAATCACTTAAGCCCAAGAGTTTGAGGTTGCTACGAGCTGTGATGCCACAGCACTCTACTGAGGGCAACATAGTGAGACTTCATCTCAAAAAAACCCCAAACAAACAAATAAACAAAATAAACTGTATTATTGGCTTAGAGAATCCTTCTTTGTGAAGGGAAACGGAATTTATATAGACCAGGGTTTTACAGCCACCAGAGCTGGTGGGTTCAAACCCAGCCCAGGACTGCCAAATGGCAATGACAACTACAATAACAAAATAGTCGGGTATTGTGGCAGGTGCCTGTAGTCCCAGCTACTTGGGAGGCTGAGGCAAGAGAATCGTTTAAGCCCAAGAAATTGAGGTTGCTGTGAGCTATGACATCACAGCACTCTACTGAGGGCAAGAGTGAGATTCTGTCTCAAAAAAAAA